TATATATATATTACTAGAGAAAGAAAATAAGAAATTATGGAGACATGCATGTTTACTTAGAGAAAAATTTAAAGTCAACAATGATTGCAGTATGTGAAATTCAGAAAAGATGAAGTAATGAGTATGCTTCCCACTAAGTCACTAAATGTTTAATTTGCATATGAAAATTAATTAAGGCATAAGGATTAAGGGTCATCTCAAGTTTGTCCTCTTTTTTTCCCATAAAATAAAGTAAATTTTGAAAAAACATTATCACAAGAAGGAAAAATATGGGCTCTTGAGCTTTCACTTCAAGTGATTATTGCTCTGTGGATTAGATAATTAAGTAGATTCATACAATTGATGATTTTTCATTTGATTTAAGCTTAAAAATAGTGTTATTTATCTTAAAATATAAATGACATGACATTTTAACATTTTGCTTTTGATAAGAAAATATTTATACACAAAAAAAATTGTGACATGAAAATTAGTTACAAATCAAAATGTACAGGGAATACTTTATTAATGGGATTGCTGGACTACAAATTCTCATAATATTATTTATATTACTTCTTTCAGTTCTATTTATAAACTTTTTTTACTTTATTTATAAGTTATATCATTAATTTTTTAATTTAAGTTGTTTTTCTTTTACTCGCTATTAATTGCTGACAAGAGAAAATATATTATGAAAGTGTGTATATTTAATATTAAGAGCAAAGCTAAAAATTTATTAAATTTTTAAATAGGTTAATGAGTTTTAATTTTTTTTAATTTTAATAAAATATGTTAAAAATGGTTTATAAATATAAGTGAATGAAGTTGATCCCTACCTTACATATATATATATATATATATAGAGAGAGAGAGAGAGAGAGACATATTTTAATAGAAACATCAAATACAGAAGGAGGAGTTTCTATCTCAAATAAAGTGCACCATCCTTATATTCATATGTGGCAAAGCGAAAAGATTAAGACAAAATAGCTATTTGTGACTTGCCACTTTCCTCAATTCCATGCTCATCATGAAAATGTTTTAATAGATATGTCATTACAAACACAGAGAATCCAGACACAACCAGATTAGGATATATATATATATATATATATATATTTCATATATCAGAAATTCAGAATCATAAAATATAAGTTTCATTTTAGCTTTAAGTGATAAGTTAGTCACTCAAAATATTATAATTTTAATAAAATTCTTAAAAAATTTTGTGGCAATAAATTTTTAAATAAAAGACCATTTTATCCTTACTAAAAATAATAAATCTCAATAATAATTTTTACTTAAAAAATAACAACTTGTGTTTTATGAATGGTAAAAATTGAACGAAAAATTACAATTTATCAAATGTAATTTTTCTGATTAAAAAACAAACATCAATCCTAAGTTTTACTTCAAAAACAATAACTTTTATTATATGAATCATAAGAATTGAATAAGAAATTACAACGTGTTAAGTGTAATTTTTGTTATTAAAAATAAATTCTCAAAATGGCAAACTTAATCACAATTTTTGTTTAAGGAATAGCGACTTGTATTCAGAGAATCACAAAAATTAAATAAAAAATCACAACTTATTAATAAAGATAAAATAATCTTTTTACTTTAAAATTTATTGATATAAAAATTCCTAAGGGTTTAAGTGAAATTATAATTTTTTGAAAGATTAAATTATCATTTATATAATTCAAAAGAATTTTATTGTCATTTTTTTAAAAACAAAAGAATAAGACAATAAAACAACTGTGATTTAATTAATAAGGACCAATGTTGAGTGTTGCATTTTATTGACGATATTGACATATTAATCTATAATCTAGTAGGTGACATAGCAACACTCACGCTAATCCACTGTAACAACTCTTATTATATTTTATTATAATATAATTAATCGAGTTGAAATTAAATCATTTATACACTCAAACAGTCAAACAAAGTAAGCCACCCGTCATAAGAAGAAATGCACAGTTTAAAATAATGTCGTGTTTTTCAATTTAAATGTAACAAATGACGTACGCTAATCCGGTAAGAGACATCAGATAACGACATATCAAAATAAAAAGAGTAAATTTTGTTTATAAGATTAAACTGAAATTAAAAAATTACTGCATTAAGTCAAAATCCATGAGATAAACATCAATTATTTATTTTATCAATTAATACTAGTGATTGAAAAAGAAGTCCAAGACGCGTATAAAATGTGTGGCAAATATATGACCAGCTACGTGTGGAATTGTGGATAGCTAAGCTAATTAATTAACATTAATTGTTGCTACTGATGTATTCCTTCCTGTCTTTAATATAAGGTAAATTTTAAAATTTTTTTAATACTTAATATAATGCTAAGTTAGGACTCATTTGTTTTAACTTATTTTATTAAAAAAAAATATTTTGTAAGTTTTTATAGTGTTTGTTTAAATTTTTAAAAGTAATCAGAATCCAAAAAAAAAGTAGATTTATGATTATTTTAAAAAATTATTTTAAGTAGCTTTTAAAAATAATCTGATATGGTAGATGAAAATAAATGTCTTAAAAATGTGAGATACACAAGGATATCATAAAATTTTAAAATAAATAAATAATAAATAATTTTCATAAAATAGAAATCAAAGAAGATATAATCAAATTTAAAAATATCTAATAACAAATACTTCCTCCGGACTTCCTCTGATCCTATTTATAAAATACTTTTTAGAAGTAATTTTTGATTCAAAATATAAGATATTTTGTAATGATTAAATAATTTTTTCAATTTTACTCTTTTTTGATTAGCGTAAAAGTGTTTAATATAGTTGTATTATTATTTAAATTTAAGAGTAAAAATGAAAGCACATCTCACTTTTTTATGATTGTAAGAAAAAATTAATTTTTTAATATATGTAAAATAGTTAAAAGTGTCATATAACAAAAACTAGAGGAAGTAATCATTTTTTATTATTGTAACTAAAGATAAAATAATTTCTTTTTATAAAATATCAATAAAATAAATATCTTTTTATAAAATTTTTAAATTATCTAAAAATTATTTATTTTTTAATCTCAAACAAACGGGCCCTTAAAGTAGTTAATTTTTTTTTCTTTAACTTTACTCCTTGTTTATTTATTATCATTTGAATTTCTATACACCAATTTGTCATAGTTATTAATTACAAAGAAGAGTGAAATAAAAAAAAAAAAGACTACATATCATTTGTTAACAAGCACAAAGTCTTATATTAAAACATCGGAGAGGTACATAATATGCACAAGTGTAAATGTGGTTTTGGCATAAGTGTAGATTTGTTAGGTGGTGATGGTAAGCATCAAAGTGGACACTTGGTTTTTGATTACGATCTCTGACCTTAACTCACTCCAACACTTGGGATGTTGCACAGATTAGTTATAACCAACACATTATCATTGCATCATCTTATTTCATAAAATCACCTTTTATGCAACTCATTCTCATATCCCTTTCTTAATGTACTCCCTCTATTTTCAATACAGGCAAAGCTCATATGCTTTTCCTCTTTTTTTTTTTATAAACAAAACAATAATTTTTAAAAAGAATTTATCACGTATTTTATAAATTGTACTTCCACTAAATAATAGTATTATTGAATTAAGGAAAAAATAATGATTAATCAGAAAGACATTTTAGTCTAAAATTTTTAATTTCAAACATAATTATTAGGATTAACTAATTTTTTAATTGTATGAATTGATTAAAAAAATTTATATGTAAAACTGAAGCAAAATTTATTTATAGGCTTAAAGTAACTTCATTATCTCCAAGGCCTTGTTTGGAGTCTTTATTGATGAAGTATTATATTCGTATTATATCATTACTGAAAAATAATGAAAATAATGATCCTCTTTTCTTGTTGCATTTTTTATTATAAAGGACACTCCTTATTCTTAAGTTATTTTTTTCCCTTCGATTCTTTTTTTTTTATTTCATTTTTTATCAAACGGGTCATTACTAATATAAGAAATTAAAAGTCCAACACAAATGAATGGATAATATATATATATATATATATATATATATAGTGGGGTTGAATTATTGCAAAAGGAAAAAAGTTATTGGCAAAGACAGTAATTGATATTTTGAGTGTGAAAAAGACACATGAAATTAATGTTGTTATGCTTCGGCCAAAAAAGAAATTAATGTTATTATTACCCGACTTATTGTGATGAATAATTCAACTTGTCCACGTCCAATGAGTTAAGTGGGTTGATTACTTTGCGAGATTTTGTTGGATCCTCCATCATCAGATAATACCCACTTTTCCAGCTAATGAAGTCTCTAATATTCATCACAATTTCACTAATCATACTGTTTCACAGTTCAAAGAATGATGAAAATAAAAGATTAAAAAAAACTCAATGTAAGCTTTTTCATTTTTGTAGAAAAGAAATGTTCTTTTGCCACTGAAATTCATTATTTGGATCCCATGTTATTCAGTGTACGATAAAACAATCTACTTTTCTCTTTTTAGTGGTTTAGATTTTTTTAAAAAAACTATTATTTAATTAAAATAATAATTATTTGGTTGGAAGTTAGGACAAGAAAATTATTTTACTTTATTTTAATATGATTTCAAAAAACATTTTCCACTCTCACACGCGAATTAAACTCAAAGCCCCCCATTTAAGTATCCATGCTATTTACAAAAGGATCAACACTTGTTAATAAAAGATTAAGCAAACTCAATGTAAGCTTTTCATTTTTCTAGAAAAAGAAATGTTCTTTTGCCACTGAAATTCAGTATTTGGATCCCATATTAATCAGTGTAGAAAACACTGTACTCTCTCTTTTTAATGGCTTATATTTTTTTAAAAAAAGTATTATTATTTAATTAAAATAATAATTATTTGGCTGGAAGTTAGGACTAAAAAATTTATTTTAGTTTATTTTAATATGGTTCCAAAAAAATTATTTCCTATATCCACACAAATTCAAACTCAAAACCTCACGTTTAATTAACCATTATTTTTTACACAATGATCAACGCTTGCTGGTAAAATTATTTCAGTTTTATATATATTTCCTCTGAAATAAAATAAACATAAAGGATTTGAAATATATGAATATAATTTTAGTGGTATAAAATTAGTAGCCTCCCCTTGCACCTTTGTTGAGTCTATCAACAAGAGATGGAGAACCTAACAAAGCAAAAGTGAGAGAGAATTAAGGAGACGATGCATGTTCGTCGTTCACATTTCATCTGCAAATGTCATTTCAAAGAATGTTTTTATCGTTTCTTTTTCGGCCATGTTGTCTGCATCCTTTCCAACACACCATATGTTGTCCTTTAAATCCACCTTTCCATTGCCATCAAAATGAAATAACTCCTTTCAGTCCACAAAATTAAATTAAATGGGGGAGATTTTTTTTTTTGATAAAGACTGTAGTTTAAATGATTTAATAATAACAAAATAGTAAATTTTAGGTGTATGTTCTATGTGATATTATTTTTTTTTACTATTAATACCAAATAGTAAATTTTAGATGTATCTTATATATACTTTTTTTTTTTTTGTAAACCACCAAACTTACTATTCGTTTGTCCCAATTGATTTATACACCTACATCCTTTAATGTTTTCATTGCAAAGAAAAAAAAAAAGATTTTCCTTCAGCAATTGTAATTATTATGCTGTTGGTATCTATCACTTTAAAAGAGAGAAAAAACAGTAGTGTAACAAGTGTTATATCATTAAATGGAGTCTACATAAGTTACATCACGAAAATTGTGCCATATCAACAATCCACTTTTTTGAAATAAACCAGCTAAACCGTTAATCGTAAGTCCTGTTAATTAATTAATTAATAAATTAATTTTTTGATGTTTTTCATTCTGTCTCTACAGCTCTTCATAAAACTTGACCACGTGTAATCAAATTTATAACAATAAACTTTTAATCAAAACTTTTATATTTATATTTTATCTTTTTTAACAAATTCATAGACAAAAAAAAAATTAGATTGAACGAAAACTAGAAAATAGCACCTGAATTCTGATCAATTTATGTCATTGGGTGATTTCAGTATCACTTAATGTGCATTTGATGTTAAGCGCAATAGCAGAGTGACCAGAAAAATGTTGCACAGAGCTGCCAAAATGAAACTCCCTTGTCGAACCATGTTCCTAAAGCTGGCCATACAACAACGGAAAGAGAAAAACCTCAAACTCAGTTTTGGTGGGGTGCGCCAGGCCCGTGCAGCAGTGCAACGCATGGGCGACGCTCGAGGATCCCAATAGCAAGCTATTGTGTCGGACCCTCCCCCTTAAAAAATTAATTTAATATCATGTGGGCCGATGGCCCACGTATCAGATATTAAACTGATAAGAACAGATACTACACTTGATCTTAGCCAAAAGGCCGAGAAAGGTATGATTTGCTTCGTGGCTTTCCTTGGCTTTTATAACTGCTCAACGCTTTGCTCACACGACGATTTGCCGATGTGGGACTAACACTAGCTAGGTTCTAGGCTGGACAGAACAGCAAAGGCCAAAGAGCAAAGAACGTGGTGACGCTGAACAACAATGTTAAACTGATAAGCTCAACAAGTTTTTCCTACCGCATCTTATTGAGTTTTGGCTTAGATTATATTCCGAGTTTTCTCATAGGTTTATTTTCACCTCCTTGCTCTGAAGCTAGACTGATGAAGCAGAAAAAGTAAACGAATGACTTGGAAATTGATATTGAAACTTTGATATTGGAATTTGGCAATGCAGTTATTCGATCGCCAATAGTTGATGTATCCAAGTATGAGTGAACATTTCTCAATAGATGGCATAAAATTAGTAGCCTCCCCTTGCACCTTTGTTGAGTCTATCAACAAGAGATGGAGAACCTAACAAAGAAAGAGTGAGAGAGAATTAAAGAGACGATGCATGTTCTTCGTTCACATTTCATCTGCAAATGTCATTTCAAAGAATGTTTTTATCGTTTGTTTTTCGGCCATGTTGTCTGCATCCTCTCCAACACACCATATGTTGTCCGTTGATCTAGATCAACCTTTCCATTGCCATCAAAATGAAATAACTCCTTTCAGTCCACAAAATTAAATTAAATAAGGGAGAAAAATATTTTTTTTGATAAAGATTGTAGTTTAAATGATTTAATAATAACAAAATAATAAATTTTAGGTGTATCTTCTATGTACTATTATTTTTTTTTACTATTAATACCAAATAGTAAATTTTAGATGTATCTTATATGTACTCTTTTTTTTTTTGGTAAACCACCAAACTTACTATTCGTTTGTCCCAATTGATATATATACCTACATCCTTTAATGTTTTCATTGCAAAAAAGAAAAAAAAAAGATTTTCCTTCAGCAATTGTAACTATTATGTTATTGGTATCTATCACTTTAAAAGAGAAAACAAGTAGTGTGACACGTATTATATCATTAAATGCAGTCTACATAAGTCACACTACGAACATTGTGTTATATCAACAATCCACTTTTTTTCAATAAACCAGCTAAACCATTAATCGAAAGTCCTATCAATTTTTTTTTTTGTTCATTCTCTATCTCTACTCTCTACAGCTCTTCATAAAACTTAACCACGTGTAATCAAATTTATAACAATAAACTTTTGATCAGAACTTTTAAATTTATATTTTATCTTTTTTAACAAATCCATAGACTAAAAAAATTATTAGATTGAACCAAAACTAGAAAATAGCACCTGAATTCTGATCAATTTATATCATCGGGTGACTTCAGTATCACTTGGGCCAAAACAAAATGTGCATTTAATGTTAAGCGCAATAGCAGAGCAATCAGAAAAATGTTGGACAGAGCTGCAAAAAGCAATTGAAAATGGACTCCCCCTTGTTGAGCCCTGAGCCTAAAGTTCACACAACAACGAAAAGATAAAAGCCTCAAACTAGGATTTGGTGGGGCGTGCCAGGCCCGTGCAGTAGTGCAAGGCATGGGCGACACTCGAGGATCCCAATAGCAAGCTATTGTAGCGGAATCTCCCCCTTCAAAAATTAATTTAATATCATGTGGGCCGATGGCCCACGTATCAGATATTAAACTGATAAGAACAGATACTACACTTGATCTTAGCCAAAAGGCCGAGAAAGGTATGCTTGATTCCGTGGCTTTCCTTGGCTTTTATAACTGGTAACGCTTTGCTCGCACAACGATTTCCCTATGTGGGACTAATACTAGCAAGGTTCTAGGCTTAGGCAGAACAGCAAAGAGCAAAGGACGTGGTGTCGCTGAACAGCAACCAAGGAAAGCTGATAAGCTCAACTAGTTTTTCCTACTGCGTCTTACTGAGTTTTGGCTTAGGTTTACTTTCACTTTCTCAATCTGTTTCTTTCTTTCTTTCGTTAGTTCTTTGGCCAGGAAATTTTCACCTCCTTGCTCTGAAGCATTCGGATTTTATGCGGCGATTTAGGGCATGTTTCTTTAGACGTGTGTGTGCATATGGGGTCATCGTCACGGCATTAAACTTTTCTGCACCACTGAATCTTGTATTGTTTTATGAGGGAATGCAGACGCCCTTCAACAAATCTGTCAGATGATGAAATTTCTTCTAGCACAAGCCCATCAAGCACTGAGGCTAGACTTTTGAAGCAGAAAAAGAAAACGAATGACTTGGAAATTGACATTGAAACTTTGATATTGGAATTTGGAAATGCAAGTTATTTGATCGCCAATACTTGATATATCCAAGTATGAGTGAACATTTCTTAACTAAATTGAGGGGATATGGGCTATTTCTACTGCTTGCATGTTTGAACAGATGCGTACGCCCTTCATATCAAACTACTGCAAATTAGCAGAAACATGCACACAGCATGTACGACTACGAGTGACAAATGGCGTGATAAACTTTCAGATGAAACTAACAGCAACATATGATATGTCCGAATTGCTTTCCTGCGATTATCACTTTCATTATGGTTGCGCCATTTACTTGATGGTCATGACTAATTAAGGTGAATTTGGGGATACTAAACATAGCTTCAAGGTAATGCAAAATGAGAAAGGAGAAAGGGGAGAAAATACAAAAAAGAGAGAAAGGATCAGTAGAGAGAATAAAAAGAAGAGAAAATTCAGAGGAGAGGTAAGAAAATAGTAATTCTTATTCAATCTAATGTGTGTATAAATCAAATAAATTGAGGCACTATTTATAAGTCTCAACTCAACCCTAAAAATAAATGTATGAAAATCCTAGAAATTTTAAAATTAAATAAAAAGATAATAATAGATGTTAAAAGATAATAATAATTTAAATTAAAATTAATATGAGAGTAAAATATCTTCGATTTTCAAATATGCAATATCCTTATAATATTTTTAATTATTTTTTTTTTTCCCATCATTTCTCCCCCACTTGAAGAATTCTCCTCCGAAGAGTAAAATTATGGATATACTTTGAAAATACAATAGTATCAAGAGGTTCCGAGTTGTGTCTTTATTTGAAAACCTTCTCTAACAAATTAGATACCAATAAATGGCATCAAGTGAACAGCAAACAATCTGAGTATGTAAAATCATAAAGTACAAGTTTGGAAATTCTTTCCAACAAATGAGGTAATATTGGAGGGGACCAACAAGGTAAAATAGGAACAAGATCAAATTGCATACCATCATCAATAGTTTCAAAAGGAATAACCATCATAAGTAGAATTTGTATATGCAATTGCCCTGTCATATTACTGGTTTCTACCTGTTTCTCGGTATCACCTCTCTTTAAAATAGGTGCAGAATCTTCAATACGATTTGAAACCTCCTTCATGTCTACATCGTCACATATATTAATCCCAAAATTATCAACACCATTGCTTTCTGGCACTATTGATATAGATAAAACGTTTTTGTTGTAGTTCTAAGAAACTATTGATAAGATTAGAAGTTTCTTGGTTTTGATATGACCTTTCTCTTTCTTTCTCAACTTGATAGCAATGCCCTTCTTTTAATGTTGATCGAAAGGAATTTTGGATTTTATTAATTTTATCTCTCACAATTTCAAGACGTAAATATATGAAATACAAGTCTAATTGATAAATTAAATCATATTGGTAATGATATTAATGATGATTAATATAATTATAATGGTGATGATCAACATAATCATATTGATAATAATAATTATATCAATGACAATCAATATGATCATATTGATGATGGCAAATAGAATCATATCGACAATTAAATGAGGCCATAACATTATGATTGAATGTGATTTTTTTTTTGGTGATTGTAGACAATGGAAGGTGAATTTTTTTTTGGCTAAGAGGCTCTAATATTCTATTTGAAAAAAAGTTCTCAAGTTGCCCTCACCTAAAAGGTAAAGACCTTATTCAACAAGTTTAACTCTCAGAGAACTCAAAAGTTCCTCAGAGATCAAATATACTAAATAAGTAATAATCTAAGTGAAGTCTTCACAGTAACCTCCAAGGGCCTAAAAACCCTTCAAGGAAACCAATTGAAACTTCAGCTAGCCTGGGGTAGATAATTATTTATGAGGTGGATATTTTTTAAGGGTTCAATCAAAGGAAAAATTGAATGTGTAAATGAAGGAAAGGAAAAATGGAATAATAATCAAAGGAAGGAAGGAAGGAAATAAAATATGAAAAAAAAATAACATCAACAAGAAGGAAATATAGTAAAATGTCTTAAAATGAAGGAAAGTATAAACAAACAAGAATAATAGAAAAAAAAAAAGAATTAAGAAACGAGACAAATAGCAAGAGACTTAGAATTTATGATTAAAAACCTTACCAAGTAACTTAAAGAGCTTTAAGTTATAAACTTATCTCTCAAAACCTTTTCGTATGAGGATTTTTGGTACTAAAAATGGGTTTGGTAATAGAAACAGAATGAGAACCTTAACTCTAATGTCAATTGATGTAGAACAGGAAGGAGAAGGGAGAGAGAATATATAAAAGAGAGCAAGGGCTCAATAGAGAGAAGAGAAAACTCAGAGGAGAGGCAAAAAAACAAGAATTCTTATACAATCTAATATTCGTACAAATTAAATGAGTTGAGGTGCTATTTATAGGCCTCAACCAAACCCTAAAAATAAATGCATAAAAATTCTAAAATTAAATAAAAAGATAACAATAAATAAAAAGATAATAATATATGTTAAAAGATAACAATAATTTAAATTAAAACTAAATATGTATAATTAATGAGAGTAAAATATCTTCAATCTTTAAATATACAATATCCTTGTAATATTTTTAATTATTTCTTTTTTTATCTCTTCCCATCACAAGGTCTCTTTCCATCCCTCCAGATTCGATTTTCAACAAAAGCTAATAAGTAACTTGCCTAAGTTGAGTCAAAAAGAGCAGAGCAAGAATATGGCAGCTTGAAGATATGGATGCTGATCTTGAGTTTTCTGCTTTAATTTCTGACGCTTGAGGGATTCAAGTGCTGCCTTGCCTTACCTTTTTTTTTTTTTGGGGGGGGGGGGGGGGGTGTGTAAACTTCCAAACTTACCACTTGTTTGTCCCAATTGATACACCTATATCCTTTAATGTTTTCGTTGCTAAAAAATGATTTTCCTTCTGCAATTGTAAGTGATTATTATGTTACTGGCATCTATCATTTTAAAAGGAAGAGGAAAAAAAATAAGAAAAAAATTTAGAGACTGAACTTTATATATTTAAGTTTTAATTAAATCAATACATATGTATTTTCAATAAATTATTTAATTTGTAACAAATTTTTGTTACTAATATTATTATAATTCACATATTTTAATTTGATTAGATAAAAATATACTCCCTTTGATCCTATTTATAAGGTGAGAGGTAAAAAAATTTGGTCTTATTTATAAATCATATCTTTAAATTTTATCACAAATTTTTTTTTACCCTCCATTGAATGTTGAAAAAAGAAAATATGTTACTAAAGTATGTATATTTAATAGGGGTAAAGTTGAGAACTTATTAAATTTTAAGATAGAGTTAAATGAGTTGTAAAATTTTTCTTGATACTAGTGAAACATATTAAAAATAACTTATAAATAAAATTAAAGGAATATTAAATATATAAGTCCTGTGTCTAAAAAAAATAGTATAACAAGTACTATCTTATTAAATAGAATTAGCTATGTAAGTTACATCACTACACATTGTAGTCTATCAATAATCCAATATATTTTATAAACCAGTTAAACCATTCATCGAAAGTCCTGTTAATTTTTAACAATGTTTTTCGTTCTCTATATCTACCGCTCTTCATAAAACTTAAAACCACGTAATCAAATGCATAACAATAAAATTTTGATCAAAATACTATTATATTTCTATTGTCTTTTTAACAATTCAGTTTATAAAAAAAATTAGATTGAACCAAAATTAGAAAACAGCGCCTGAATTCTCATCAATTTGTTATTGGGTGACTAGTATTATTGGGCCGAAACGATGTGCATTCAATATTAGGCCCATGAGAAGAGAGATCAGTAACATGTTGGACGGCGCTGCAAAACTCAAATAAAAATGGGCTCCCCTCCTCGAGCTATATAGTTCGCACCTAAATTGGACCAACAACATCGGGCAGAGAGAAAACTCAAACTCAGATTTGGTGGGGTGCGCCAGGCCCGTGCAGCAGTGCAACGCATGGGCGACGCTCGAGGATCCCAATAGCAAGCTATTGTCGCGGACCCTCCCCCTTAAAAAATTAATTTAATATCATGTGGACCGATGGTCCACGTATCAGATATTAAACTGATAAGAACAGATACTACACTTGATCTTAGCCAAAAGGCCGAGAAAGGTATGCTTAACTC